TCGCGAGCTCTGTCATCTCTCACATGGTTAATTCTACGACCACAGCAAATCTGGGCCATAACTTGAGCTCGGCTCGTGACCCTTCGGCTATTGCCGAGAAGCGCGAGGCGTAACGACGACGCGGAGAGCCATGATCCCTGTGACTATAAACGTCCACGACGTCTGGGTAGTCTTGCCGAAGTGGTATCTCAAACTCCCACAAGTTCTTGGTGTTTGATATCCCCGCCACTTTACAAGATACTGGATTTGACCCTGTTGACGACGTTGACCCAAACGTCGCTCATAGTGATAGAGAACGCCACCATTCTCATCGAGAAGAGTCGGCTGCGGACGATGACGACGTGGTCGATTGCTGTCCAATGACTAGCGATGCTCTTCGAGCTTTTGAGGACAAGGTCCTTCGTTATCGGTGCTCCGCGGAACATCATGCTAGAGTCGCATAGCGCTATGCGGAAAACCTCGAGAGTTCAAAGCACACTATGCATCGACTGCCTCGCGTTGGAGACTATCGTGCTCTGTTGAAGCGACTCCTAGCCGTTGAGCAGTCGGCACTTCGTGCTACGGATGTGCGTCTGGCACCGTTGGAAACAGAAATCGCTGCACTCCGTGATTGCTGGTTCAGCTTCTGGGTGATCGAGCTCCTGTGGGCGCCGCCCCGGCGCCAACGCTTCCGCGTTCACTTGACCGGATCCAGATACGGCCTTAGCAAGTCCACATAAAACAACGAGTGGGTGCGCATCCTTCTCGGAAGGTTCAACGTATATGCTAGACCACGACCTTAAAAGGTTCGATAAACTGTGGACGTAGCTTTGACTTTAGGCAGCAGAAACGGCAAGTGAAGGAAGTTTTTTAGCATTATTAAAACCAGGTCTCCGACCTTAAAGTATTCAATATTTTTTCGCTTATTCTTTCTGCATATCATGACTTTCAACTATCGCATCGCGAACGCGTGAGACACTCAACCTGGTCAACAGAAAGTCATCGCTTACGAACAGTGAAGGGGCTGACATCAGTTAGCCGTTTGGCTATCCCCCCACCAAGCCTTGAACCATGGGATAGCTACGTCAGCAGGTCGCGGCAATGAATGAGCACGTTCACGTGGAACAGCGTGTAGCCGGTAGATAAATGCACTGCATTGTTCAGAGCGAGCTCCACAAATGGCAGCATGGCGATCCAGTGCCTCGGCGTCTTATCACCGAAACGAATTCAACGACGTAATTCACGCGCTCAGTTTGACCATCGGTCTGCAGATAATCCGCCGTTGACATAGTCAACTTGGTGCCCAGCACCGTGAAGATTGTAAACTAAAACTTCCCAATGAAGTGTGGGGATCTGTAAGAGACAATTGACTCAGGAAGTCAAATTTTGTTGTCGAAAGACACGATCCATAAACAGCATCGCTGTAACGACACCGTCGATGATGTCCGGCACTACTGCAAGATGTGCCATCTTGACCAAACGATCGACAAAGACCACCACACTCGTGTTGCCCGCCAAGTACTTCGGCAGGCCAAACACAAAGCCAATACTAATGGACTGCCAACACCCGGAGGGTACCAATAACCTGGTCAGCAGCGCCGCCGCATTTGGAGAGGGATTCACCCTTTGACACGTCGCACACATGCGCACATATGTCTCGTCCATTCGTATAGCTTGCTTCAACAGTAGTGGCAACTTACAGAGCTTTGCGTCTTTTCACGACCGAGATGACAACTGAGTGGAGTGTCATGGGCCTCTTAGAGGATACAGTATTTCAAATACTGATCGTAAGGAATCACAACTCGTGGCGTATCCATCGAGTCGATGCATAATACAGCAACCCGTTATTCGCCGAATATAGGTGCAAACGTGCGCGCAAACGCGCCGACAATTTTGAGTTTGTAACTCCTTGATCTCGAGATCCTGTAGCAGTGCTACACACTTCCCATCACCCGCGTATGCGCGCGGATCAAATCATTCGCTGAGAGCGTCACCGTCGTGACATGAGCAAGCTCATCATTTGGTTTGCGTGACTACGCATCAGCCAAACAAAGCATTCTGCTTCACCGGCTTACACTTCACCTTTACGTTTGATTTTGGAGAGAATGAGAGCCGCTTGGCCATCTTCTGCGAGAGATGAGGCGACTGAAGCGCAGTGCGTAATGACGCATGATCTGTGCAGATCACAAACGGCTTTTAGCCAAGCAGGTGCGCCAAGACCTTGGCAGGTGCATACTTTATCGCAATTAATTTCTTGCCATGAACTAGGTAGTTCCTCTTCGCAGCTTTAAGCTGGCGAGATTCGAACGCGATCACCTGATCTCGACCCTCGGCTTCTGCTTGCAGCAGTGCACACCCGATGACAGAGTCCGAAGCGTCACGGACAACACTGAAAGGACGATCAGGATCGGGCAACGCCATTATTGGAGCATGAAGGAGGCTGTCTTTAACCATGATGATTGGTGTCCCAACACCATTCCGTATCCATCTTAAGGAGATTTGACAATGAAGGTGCCATTTCCGCATAATTTGCGCTATACTTGTGCAAGTAGTTGGCGAGGCCAAGCTACTCGTGCAAGTACTTTTTGTTTTTTGGAACCGGCTAGTTCAAAATGGTCTGGACCTTAGCGCGGAATTCACGCGAAGACCAAGTTTTTCTATGAAGCACTCTAAAAGGGAATTTCGTTCACACCGAAATTGAAAATATCGGCATTAGCATACAGCTTATTCGTTCGCATGCCCTCAAGCACCGATCTCAAATGGACCATATCGTTCTCTTCATCTGTCCTTCCGTGCCCCGCACGACTGTGAATGATGATGTCGTCGAAGTATGTTTGTGCATACGCCTGGTGTGGCCTGAACAATTGCGTCACAAGACGATTTAATGTTGCTGGTGCATTTGACAGCCCTTGGGGTATCACCGCGTCCCTCTCGGGTAACTCGTCGCTGTCAGCGGTATAATTCGCTCTCATGAGCAAGTGATAATACCCATCGACAGAGTCAATTGCGCTGTACTTTGTACAGCCGATTATATTGTTCTGGAGAGCATTCTTTCTTGATATCGGCGATTGTGCCGGAATGGTGGTAGCATTTAGCTTCTTATAAGCGTGAATGATACGCCACCTGCCGTTCAGCTTCCGTACACAAAATGTGGGTGTCGAATGGGTAGACTTGCTCTCACGCACCGTTTCTGCCTGGTGCTTCGCACGGAAAAAGGCGTCAATGACGTCACATTGCTCTTTCGGCAGGGGGCCGTTGGCGTGTTACGCAGTATTTGTTCCCAGGACCAGGTCAATCTCATGTCGCACACCTCGGTCCGGAGGTATGACTGAAGGCGGGTCTTCGGAGACGACGTTTTGAAATTCCTTTACCAAAGGATGGTACGGATCCAAGGGATTCCGTAGGATCGACGATCCACTTCGTGCGTTCAGCGCCTTCTTACTGGCCTCTAGAACAGCTTCATCCAGAAGCAAGAACGACTTAATCACATCGTACGGTCGTATGATGACCGCCATGGCTAAATCGCCTGCCTTCAAGATACCGTCAAACTCCTTGAAAGACAACTCGTCCAGCTCAAGAAAAGCATCCACCGCGGAAGTAGCCTCGAGGGTGACGTCGCCGTCATCTTCTACCGTCATACCATTGACAAGGGTGTATAGCTTTGCCGGCCACTGCAACGGGGGGGGTCGACTGCTATCCCAGCAATGAAAGTACGAATCTCTTAAACAAATCCACCAACTTGTTCTTGCCCTGTCGGACGGCAAGAAAATGCGATCGCACAAGATATGCTTGGTTAAGCGGCGAGAACACTCGCTAACGCTGACGCTTCCGCTCCTTCTAGGAGGTCATGCAGCTTCAACAGAAGCATTGTTAGTGTTAGAATTTCTAGATGCGCTTGTCAGGCGCCGCAGATACGATGCACAAAGTATCACAACACCACAGAGTAAATGTTGCAATG